ACGCAAGGGATGTTAAGGAACGTCTTAGCAATTTTCGGGGTTTCCACACTAGGGTAGGAAGGATGTGGTCGGTTTGCAGAAATCCACAGTTTAGGGCTTAGGGCTTAGGGTTTAGGGTTTAGGGCTTAGGGCTTAGGGCTTAGGGCTTAGGGCTTAGGGCTTTGGGTTTAGGGCTTAGGGTTTAGGGTTTGCGGCTCAGGGATTAGAGCTCGGGCTTTGGGTTTAGGGCTTAGGGCTTAGGGTTTTGGGTTTAGGGTGTAGGGCTTGCTCAGCTACGTTCAAGCCATCGGGGGACTGTGCAAGTAAGGTTTAGGGTTCAAGGGTTGCCTACCTACAGTAGGTCTAATAACATACGGTTTTATGGGTTCTACCTAGTAATGAAGGGGTAATGGCTGCTAAACTGTAGGGAAGGAGAGTTACAGGTACTTATCAAGTCCCGTGATGCTTCGAGTTAGTGCGCCTACCTCTCTCTGGGGCTGGCAAACAAAACGGCGAAATCCGGCCCTGCGGCTCTAGAAGCGGACTGTCCAAGCTACCATGTTCATCGGGCTTTTTATCAAGGCTCCATAGGATTTCGAAAAGGTTCCCTAAACCCTAAACCCGAAACCCTAAACCCTAACACGGTTTAGGGTTTAGGGTTTAGGGTTGATGGTTCTAGAACGGGTACGATCTTCGGGACCTGCAAACTTCAAACAGGGTGTTTGGGAAGGTTCATCTGCGGAAACTTAGGGTTTAGGGTTTAGGGTTTAGGGTTTAGGGAACCCCAATCACGGCCCGAGATTCGAAACCCTAGTCCCTAAACCCTATGTCCCGATACCCCAAAGCCCAAAACCCTAAAAACCTCAACCCCAAGCCACAAACCCGAAATCCTAAACCCTAAACCCTAAACCCTAAACCCTAAAACCTAAAACCCCAAACCCTAAATCCGAAACCCCAAGTCCCAAACCACAAACCCTCAGCCTTTCCTCACAGGATTTAGGGCTGAGGGAAGCGCAGGAAAGATGAAAGATGGCCAACACTTCTTAGGGCTCAGGGTTTTGAGGTTTAGGGGTTTTTAGGGTTTGCAGGTTTACGGGTTCAGGGTTTAGGGTTTAGGGTTTAGGGCTTAGGGCTTAGGGTTTAGGGCTTAGGGTTTTGGGATTAGGGATTAGGGCTTAGGGTTGAAGGCTTACAAGGGCTAAGGTTCAGGGCTTTAAGGCTTAGGCTTTAGAGTTTTGGCGTGTTGCGGCCCAGGGCTCTGGGCTTCCAGGCCAGTAGCCTTCTGTACCTGATTTTCAGGATTGACAGTGAAGACCTTGATTAAGGCCACGCGTACTGCGGGGATGCCCCTCAGAAGGACAAGACGACGCTCTCTCCTGGCCATCCAGCTAATATAGGGGCCTTAATAATTTGAATAGGGTTTTGGGGCCCTTTATACTATAAATACAATAAGGAACCTCCAAAATATTATCAGTAATTATTGAGTCTCCTATAATATACTGGTCAGAAAGGCCGTACGGTTATCCGAGCTTCATGAGGGGTTCCATTAAGGAATTACAGAGGTTCGTTCCATGTCATTCTAGACCCTGCGGGTTCAGGGTTTAGGGCTTAGGGCCTAGATAGTTTGTCAAGTTGATCCTTACAGGGTGGCCTGCCATATTCATCGCACAAAACCGTCAGCAGTCTCAATTTGGCTAGTTATTCAGGCCCAACTCAACACTCAGGCTGAAAGCATCGTCCGCGCCCCTGAATCCTCAAACTCAATTCCTAAACCCCTATGCCCTAAACCCTAGACCCTAACACCAAACCCCTGAACCCTAAACCCTGATCCCTAAACCCTAAACCCCTAAACCCTAAACCCTAAACCCTAAACTCAAAAGAGTAAGCCGGAGAGCCCGGCTTATGCCTTCTCACGCACAGGAGGGTACCACAAGCGTACGGGAAGTAAACAGTTTTGGACTCTATGGGATTTACGGTTTAGGGTTTAGGGGTTTAGGGTTTAGGGTTTAGTAAGGTTTAGGGCTTATTAGAGGGGTTTAGGGTTTATAAGGTTTTGGGGTTTAGGGTTTGGGGTTTAGGGTTTAGAGGTTTAGGGGCTCAGGGTTTAGGGTTTAGTCTCTGTCTTCCCTAGAGGTAACTGGTAGTTGCCAGCCAGCTACAACCATTTGCAGGCAAGATATGACTGTGCACAAGCATTCCTTAGTGTCCGAACGAATACAGGAACATTATTGGCCCTATTGGCCCTGTTATGAACCCTAAACCCTAAACCCTGAACATTAAAATTAAAACCCTGACCCTAAGCCTTAGACCCTAAACCCTAAACCCTAAACACTATATTTAAAACCCT